GAACAAATCTCAATCAATCAGCTGGACATTTGCCTATCTCCTTACGCGTGAACCCTTTGTGCTTCTCTTCAAGCAAATGTCCCTTTCATGTGGTCCCTACTTGCTATCTTCTCACAATTTGGAGGAGTAGATCAATTTGGAGGCTCGTCTAGGGCTTTATTTGGTGATAAAGGTGGGATCTTTTGGTAAAAATTCTTTATCTTTTTATTTTTGGATCTATTCTTCGTTCGTTGGTGCGTTGAGAAAGATGTCGGAGAAAGAAGGTGTTTCGGGTGTCGAGGGTGGTGCTTCTGACGCGAAGATCATTCAGAATTTGAATATCCACTCTATGAAGATAGATGTGAAGAAGTTTAATGGCACAAATAATTTTGGATTATGGGGATGCAAGGTTTTGGATGCGCTGAACGCGCAGAATTTGGAGGATATATTGGAGTTAGATAGCAAGCCAGATGACATTGAAGAGAAGGTTTGGAAAAAATTAAATCGAACGGCGTGTGGTGTGATTAGGTCTTGTTTGACTCAAGATCTAAAATATGATGTGATGAATGAGACTTGTGCAAAGAAGATTTGAAAGATTCTCGAAAGCAAGTATTTGACAAAGAGTGTTGAGAATCGTTTGTATTTAAAGATGAGACTTTATCGTTTACCGTTGAAGAAGGGAACCTCAATTAGAGATCACATGAACACCTACACAAAGCTTCTTACGGATTTAACGAATGTGGATATCATGATTGAAGATAAGGACAAGACGTTGTTGTTGTTGAGTTTCTTGCCCGACGAGGAATATGAGACATTTGTCCTTACTCTGATTAATGAGAAGATATCTCTTTCGTATAGTGAGGTCACTGCTGTACTGGTGAATTATCAGCTTCGGAAGAAGGATAAGGAGACTTTGACTGTAGCAGAGGGAAGAGGCGTTTGGTCGCAAGAGGGAAGGATCCAAATCGAAAGAATTGGAAGTCACAGTTTAGAGTGGGAGATCCTACAATTGGAAAAGATCAGTGTGCTTGGTGCAAGGAGATTGGTCATTGGAAGAAAGACTGTTTAAAGCTCGACGAATAGATGAAAAATAAGCAGAAGGAAAAAGGAAAGCAACCATCATCAGAAGCAAACATCGTATCGGATGGTAATATTTTTAATTCTTCTATTTATTTACTTTCTATCAGTCCTACATGTAGCTATTCGGAGGAATCCGAGTGGATGTTGGATAGTGGTGCGACCTATCATGTGTGCCCTAGAAGGGAATGGTTCTCCAGTTTTGAGAAACTGGATAGTGGTGTGGTGTACATAACTGATAATTGTGCATGCCAGATCCTTGTGATAGGAAGAATTCGCATTAAGATGTTTGACGGGATTGTTAGGGAGTTAAATGATATGAGATATGTTCCTTCTTTGAGAAAGAACTTGATCTCGATTGGAGCTTTGGTTGGAGAGGGTCTGAATGTTCGAATTGAGGACATGGTTCTCAATATTGTGAAAGATTCTCGGATTGTGATGAAGTGCGTCAGGAGAAATAATCTGTATTACTTGATTGGAGGTATAGTGGCATGTGGAGAACTGACGATTTCTATTGATTAGACTAGACTGCGGTATTTGAGGTTTGGTCATTCCAGTATTGATTCCTCGCATAGATTGAAAGAGGATGCGAAGACCTGCAGTTTGAAGTCCAGTGAACATGTTGATGTGAGCAAGAAGACCGAGGTAAAGTTTGACACCTCTATTCACTATGCTAAGGGTCGTTCTGGAGGAGTTCACGTGGATGTTTGGGGGCCTTCCAAGGGGGCATCATTGGGAGGTAATAGGTGTTTGGTTTTCTTTGTTGATGGCTGTTCTAGGCGTGTTTGGGTTGCAACCAAATCCCCATTGGAGAAAGTCCTAGTAGTCTCTAACAGTTTGAAGAAGTGTAAGACAGACAGAAAGGTGAAGATATTTCATTCTGATTTTGTTGGGAGGTACAAGATGGATCTATTTCTGTATTGGAGCTGAGCTCACGGCATTGCGAGACACTTCGTTGGAAAGGAAATCTTGAGGCAACTAGATAGGGTTGCAAATTTGGAGAATCGTGCCTTGTTGGAGGAGGATCGATGTTTGTGGTCGAGCAATGGTTTGTAGAAGAGGTTCTGGACCGAGACTTCGACATATTTGAGTCATCCTATTAAAGAGTTGTCAACTGTTGTGATTGGGGGTAAAACTCTATTAGAAGATAGGTCTGATTGTGTCACTTTGGATGAGCCTTCGATGAGGAAGCCAATTGACTCTCAGCAGGTGGAGAGTTTTGGACAGACTTTAATTGTATCACAGCAGGTGAAGATTGATGTTACTCCATATTGGGTGAAGATTACTCCAGATCATACTGCATTGTTTGGGATTCCAGCTGAGGTGACACAGCTTAGGGGGGGGGTTAGTCATCTAGAACTTAAAACTAGAATTGGGATAATTTGTGGGATAAATTTTTAAGGTGTTAGTCACATAGAACTAGGAAATATGATATTTTTTTTATAGTGTTAGTCAAGTAGAACTTTTGTAGAACTAGAACTGTATTATTTTTTTTGTGCGTTAGTCAAGTAGAATTCTACTAGAATTAGAATTGGGATAATTGGTCATAATTATCCCACAAATTATACTACCTATATATATAACCATAAGTTCTCCTCTCTTAAATTATCCCACACATTGGAAAGAATACAATTGGGAAAAAAAATGAAATGCCGCCTCCCTCCCTCTTGGTTAGTTTCTCCACCTAGAAAATTTCTCTGCCATGAAGTCAATCATCTGTTCATTTTTCTGTCTTTACTTTGTTTTTGTGATGATTAGATCTTTTATTATTATCTTCAAGATGTATTACTTTATTGATAGCTTTTTGACGTTAAATTACTTTATTATTATTTGTTTGATCTAAGTTTTCTCTCCACAACAGTGGTTTAGGTTAAGAATATAGTGTTGGTGGGTTAGTGCTAAAGATATGCGGGCTATTTATGTTTTTTTTATAAGTTAGAAAGCAACTTTGCGATCACATTGATGATTAGATGTTGAATGGTTAATGGTGATATCTATTATTATTAAATCGGCTCAGTAAATTGATTGGGATATTTATAGTTCATCTGTCGATCATCTGTTTAGCGGCCATGGATGATTCCTGTGTACATTTCATTTATTTGCTGATTTGGTTTCAGCGATCATGATGAGATTGGTCCAAAGGGTTAATGGCTGAAAAATGCTTATTTTTCTTTCTTTATGATGTTATGAGATTTGAACTTCGACATTTATGATCCTCCACTAGAAGCTCCACGAAATGTTGCTAATGTAGACGATGACTCCGATAAAAAAGACGAGTTACAGACTCAACGAGCAGCTGTAGGAGCTTGGAGAAATTCTATGGCAGATGCCATGTGGGATGATAGAAGCCATGTGGGATGATGGAAGTCGAGTCACTCTAGGGATTTAGATTTTTATTTTTTTTGTAAATTATTTTATTATTTAAGATGAATAGTGATGCTTTATTGCATTATATTTTATAGTTATTACTAGAATTTGCTTATCAATATTATATTATTTTTAATATACAATTATTAACAATAGTAGTTTATACTCACCATTACCCCCACCAAATTATCCTACCAAATTATGCAACTTCATAATATTATCCATCATTATCCCACCAAATTATCCTACCAAATTATCCCATTTTAAGAATTACCCATCATTGTTCCACTAAATTATCCCAGTGTCAAAAAATTATCCCACTTTATCAATTATCCCACTTCTACTTAAAAAGTTCTAGGTGACTAACCCCCCCTTAGGGATCATTTGGATTTAGGTGCAGATGATGAGTTGGGTTTTGATTCGAGTGCAGCTGTCAGACATAGTTTGGATATGATCATTGGTTCGCCTCAAGTGGAGGTGTTTGAAGCCATTAGAGGTGCTATCAGCCGTAGAGTTGATGATATTAGAGAAGGGTTGCGAACTCTTATATTAGATTGAGGTCGTTCGCGACCATTTGGGTGAACTACGTTCGGCTTGATTCCTTGGGTAAGAGGATACGTAGGCAGTCTTTATGATGCAGCCGTGTTGGATTTTGATGGGGGTGAGACCGATTTGGTGAGTAGACATCGATGTTTGGGGAGAGTGTTTGCACTCCCATTTGGGTCTTGACTTGTTGTGGATTGAGTCCGTTCTTATGACGTACTGGACGCAACAAGTGAGGCATTTGATGTGGTCGGTGTCGGTTCAGTTTTGGTAAAACTTCACCGATGTGAAGAATTGTGAGAAGATAGCAAGTAGGGACCACATGAAAGGGACATTTGCTTGAAGAGAAGCACAAAGGGTTCACGCGTAAGGAGATAGGCAAATGTCCAGCTGATTGATTGAGATTTGTTCTTTGCACATAGTTAGCTGGCCCACCACGTGAAGTGATAAAGATTTGAGAAGTTTTGTCTAGTGGACAATTAGCTGGCCCACCCGAATAGAAGCTATTTATAGTTTGATATTCGTGCCCTAGTTTGGTGTGCGGGGAGAAAAGACAGAGGAGAAAAAAAGGCGGTTGTGCAAGAGGCTTTGGAGAAACCGAAAGGTGAAAACCTTTTTTCGTCTCTGGTTGATTTTCGACAGAGGGCTTTGTGTGCAGTTTGTTCTCCTAGGGTTTTGTGCAGTTGTCTTCTAGGGTTTTAGTATCCTTTTGAGAGAGTATTTGTGTGAGGGCTCTGAGAGTTTGTGAGAGGGTTTAGGTTATGAGATTGTAAATCCTAGTTATATCTCTCCCTCTAATAGTAGATCTCCCCCCTTCTTGTCCCGTGGACGTAGGCAGTTTGTCGAACCACGTAAAATTGATTTGTTTGTGTTTGTGGTCATTGTAATAGTTTAGGAGCCCTCGACAAGTCAGTCCTAGAACTGATGAGAGGAAGAGCCGATATCTCACTTTGTTAAAATATTCGCTTCAGATTCTTGTTTCCTTGGTGAGACGGGAATTCTTATTGCGATCTTTCTCTTATTGTGCACCAGAAACTCTGTCAAAATTTTCGCCGCGCACAACATATATATAATCTTTCTGCTTGTTTGGGAATGAATCCCATCCCACTGTCAAAATGTCACGTTCTGATTATTCCTCCTCCTCAGACTCACTGATCAGCCTACGGGTCGAAACTTCGCTTTAGTTGGCTATAACCATTTTATCTAATTAGTATCATCAGAGCTCCCAGTTCATCTCTTGGTAATTTTAACCGCTTCAGACTCTTTTAAGACCTGTAGGGAGTAACAGATGGCTCGAGTCAGTTAATCCCATCTAGGATGGGAGAAGCTCCTGTGTGGAAATATTTATTTTCATGGCGAACTTTTTTTTATTACCGTATCTATCTCTCGATGACAAACACTACGGTCAAGCTATGCTTTCGAAATTTATTCCGGCACTCTTTGATTTTGTATGAAGGAATGTTGTTCCGTGTAGTTCTTTGGCCCGTTCTATTCCTCGGAAGAAACACCAATTCCTTTATAGAAAATCATATCAGCTCGATCGCCTCTCTTGTCTAAAATGCTTTCATGGTCTTGGGTATGTCCGTCGGCTTGCTCTTCTAACGGCATGCTTAGAAAGGGATTATGCGGAGCCATCAAGGTTCTACGCCCTTGCCCTCACTTGACTAGGACTATTAGCAACAGTTCCTAGATGGTATGCCAAGAGGACTGCCCATTATAACTCTTATCTAGGGATGACAATTCTGGTCCAAACCCAATAACCCACCCATATCCATCCAATATGAGACCCATCCAAACCAACCCATTTAGCTAAATGGGTCTAATTGGGTGAGTAACTATTTCTAAAGAGATTAAATGGGTATTAGATGGGCGGGTGTTGACCCACCCATAACCCATCCAAACTTGCCAGATAGAAATCTCCTCTCCCCCCTCTCTACGATTCCTCTCTTCGAAACCCTAAAAAACTTGGCTCCCCTCTCTCTGCGATGCGATTCCTCTCTTTGAGCTTCGATTCCTTTATCCGAGCGTCAATTCGTCTCTCCGAGCTTCGATTCATCTCCCAGCTCCAACGCCCCCAAATCCAATCCGGACTCACAAACTCCTCTCCTTCAATCCCCAGTTCGATCTCATAATCTACGGAATCGGCAGCATCGACTCGTACGAGACCCCAAGAGTCCAGCTTTCGCTTGCCCTTCTCATTCTCGAGCGGCTCAAGCCCTAGATTTCATCAATTGAAGTGTTCGACCTAATAATTTCAACAGCCGAGCAAGCGGTTATCGAACAATTGGGAGTCGCTGTAATGGATGTCGATGAGCGAGGGCGAAGAGAGGTAAAAGTTCGGACTTTGTTCTTTATGCTACATTGTGAGGTCTAATTTTATGATAGTCTGTTGGATGTAAATCGGGGTTGTGGGATTTTGAACAAAATGGTTATTTTGGGAAATAGTTTTGGGGAGTACGAGAGGTACGTGGGGGAGAAAAAGGGGGCGAGTGGGTCTGTGAAGGTGGAGGAGGTGGGTAAGCGGGTTATCGGGTCGAGGAGGTTTGTTAGGGAGGTGAGGATTGTGATGATGATAATGGGGTTTTTTGAGCTTTTCATGATATTAGTTAGCATTTGTTCGATGTGGACAAGGATGTCCATTTGGATTTTGTTTGAACTTGAATAAATGATATCTGTATGATTGTTGATTGTTCTTGATATTGTTGAAATTGAATAAATGATATCTGTATTCATAATAACAACAAAGTTTTTATTAGGATAAGAAACTTGTAATAATAGGCCAATTCTTCATTTATTTATTGTATGTGTTTCTCAGTTTTAAAACCCCCGAAAAGTTTATAGAAAACTCCTAAAATGTCTGCAGAAACCCCCCTAAAAGTCTGCAGAAACCACCTGAAAGTTTACAAAACCCCCCTACAAGTTTATAGAAAACCCCCTGCAAGTTTACAGAAAATCACCTGAAAGTTTGCAGAAACCCCTGAAAGTTTACAGAAACCCCCTGAATGTTTGTAGAAACCCCCTGAAAGTTTACCAAAACCCCTACAAGCTTATAGAAAACCTCCTAAAGGTTTACAGAAAACTCCGAAAGTTTACACAAAACCCCCTAAAAGTTTGCAGAAATCCCTAAAAGTTTGCAGAAAACCCCCTGAAAGTTTACCAAACCCCCTGCAAGTTTATAGAAAACCCCCATGTAAGTTTGCAGAAAACCCCCTAAAAATTTACAGAAAACCCCCTGAAAGTTTGCAGAAAATCCCATGAAAGTTTACAGAAAACCTCCTGTAAGTTTACAGAAAACCCCCTGAAAGTTTGTAAGTAGATCATTGAAACTTATATATCTAATACTATTATAAAAGTGTGTTGGTATGTTAAAACATTTCTTCCGAAAATACCCTCTAAAATGTATATATGCATACATAAAACACATGCATGCATATACATAACACATACATACATCATAAATCATTCTCCTTCAAATCCCTTTCATAACCCTCAATTAAATAAAACTAAATGTAATAAATACACCCTCATACATGCATACATGAAATCATATACATAATACTTCATGCTTAATTACATAGCGTACATGAAGAGATAGCCTTTTAATTATACCATTATATCTATCTAATGAAATCCAACTAAAACCTCAAAGCGTTTCCATCACATAACCTCCTTTATTATTATTATAATACAGCACTAGCACTAGCTCAAATTTTTAGTCCATTAAGAAGGAAAGTCATAGTATTCATTAGAAATTTCATTCACAGTGAATACCCTAACCGTTGTTAGACACAAGAGTTACATTTCTATTATTGCATGTTAAATTAAATTAAATTAACTTATGGTTTTATAACTCTATCAAACCCACTCAAATGACATTAATCCAATCAAAACTTTTGAAATTCTCCTCTTTTAATTGTACCATTATATCTATTTAATGACATCCAACTAAAACCTCAAAACTTTCCCATCACATAACCTCCTTTACTATTATTATAATGTAGCACTAGCACCGGCTCAAATATTTAGTCTATTAAGAAGGAAAGTCATAGTATTTATTAGAATCGGTTGCTTTTCAAGCTTCCTCTAGATAACCTGAGAGGAGTTTTAGTTTTTCACTTAAGAGAAATTTTATCTATTTTGGAGGATCGAACTTCAATTTGTAGAAGTTCTATAATGCACGTGCAATTTATAAAAGTTTGTTAATGTAATTTCGAGCTTATTAGGCATTGAGTAAAATTATTTTTTAATGTCAAATGAAGTAAATATTAATTTATTCTTCAATTTTTTGAGCTCAAATAACTAAATAATTTTATTTTGACATTTACGTTTGTACCATATTCTTTAATTCTTAACACCATATGTTAATTTTGACCAATTGACTTTCCATCAATTATTCCAAGTATCTGGAGTTTTAAAATTAAAGGTAAATTAGTTGCTAATTTTAAACAAAAAAATTAATTTACAATTTGTAAATAAAATTATATCCAACATATATAACATAAATTTTATTATTTAATTGTTTGAGATATCGTTATAATATATAATTTTTATATTTTTAGTAATCACAACATATTCCCGATTATTTCATCAAATATAGAAAAGTAATATGACTACACTATATTCCAAAATGTATATTTTAAGTCTCTTCATCATTTTCAAGCCATAGAAACGTTCAAAAAGTAAAAGAAGTATGTATACATGCAATTCTCAAAAAGTAAAACAACTATATATATGAAAATGAGTACACGTGCAACGCACGTGCACCATACTAGTATATATAAAAGCATCATAACTAAATGGGTTATTGGGTCACCCATGAACCACCCATTTAGTAAATGGGTGGATGAGAAGTGAACCATTTAGCAAATGCTAAATTAGTCATAAATGGTCAAGTGATCATAAATGTGCCTACCCATTTATGACCTAACCAAGAGCCAATCAAAACCACCCATTTGACAACCCTATTCTTATCTATTCATTCTTATGGAGCTTACTTGATCTTCAGTTGGTCTCACAGCTGACCCTATTTTAGTGTGGAGAGGCCAATATGATACAGATGATGATAACTCTCCTCTTTATAACATGTGCTAAATTACTTGTGTCATGGACATTTTTTACAATAATCCTCTGCAGTTCATCTGTAATAGAAGAAATCATAGAAGAAATCATAGCGAGAAATGAGATCTTACCATGCTAGTAGATTTTCATCCGTTCTATACATCACATCAATGGAATTATGTTGAAAACTTTGTTACTGTCATTAATAATTGGTATAGTTTTAGCATCTTTTCATCCATAGAGAATGGGAAAACGTATTTGGCATATTGATCTAACTATCCTGTTTCCCCCCCTTTAAGGTTGACACTTGTTAGTGGGCTCAAGTGGGTGGATGAAGTCATAACAAATGCTCCTTACGAGGTCAATGAACAATTTATGAACATTCTCTTCAATGACTACAAAATTGACTACATCATACATGGAGATGATCCTTGCCTACTTCCTGATGGAACTGATGCTTATGCATCAGCAAAGAAGGCAGGACGTTACAAGCAAATCAAGCGCACTGAAGGTGTCTCGAGCACGGATATTGTTGGTATCATATTTCACCCCCTCCATAATGATAATGAGCTGAATCCATGTTATATGTGATTATAGTACTTTCTTTGAATATATCACTGCATATTAATCTAATATAGAATTAGAAAAGAAGCATTTTTCCATTGCATTTGTTTTCCCACATATTACTTTTGCATGGTTTTCTTAGATCATGCATGTGAAATGGTGTTTTTTTTTTGGGTTTTTAGTCCTCACTGTGTAATTCTTTTTATTTAGGTAGGATTTTATCTTCATTAAGAGGTTCAGAAATGGATAATGGCTCTGCTAATGCTTCCGTTAATGAACAGCACCAGAATCAGGAAAACACTCTGGCCAAGACTGGTGGTTCTGTTAAATCTCATTTATCTAATTTTCTTCCTACGTCTCGTCGGATTGTGCAGTTTTCAAATGGGAAGGTAAGTATGTTCCTTGTTATCTGCATATAACACATTCTAAATGAGAGTATGCACATTTTTTATTCTCTATGTTATATTTTACTGGCTTTGACCATATTGACTACAGGAAAAATAGTTACATTTTTCTGTAGCTTAGGTTTATCTTTGTTAATAACACTGTATGATGAATATGTACTCTACCTTTTTTTAAAATTTAGTTTACATTATTTATATCAAACATATCAAGTTTCACACTAATATAGATAAGATTGAATGAAGAAAACCAAGGTGTTTTCTTTTTGAGAAAGAAGACCAAGGTATTCCCGATACTGCATAGTAACGGTTCAGCTGTTTCATCTTTATCTTTACAAGTTATGTGATAGGTTGTGTGAATGTGTAGGCTTCTTTCTCAGTGAACATTTAGTGCAGGTCCAAATTTATTAGTCACCAACTATATTGAGTGATGAAGTTAGATATCCACCCATCATGATAATCACTTGACAATGAATTTGACCAGTCAACCTGCAATATAGAAGGGCGTAGATTCCTCTTGTTGGCTGATCTCTTCATGTCTTTTGGAAATGATTTGGATGCACCAGGGTCTAGACTAATAAGAGCAATTATGAGAATACCACGCACAAGTTCTTAGTATCATATAATAATTAGCTCGAATCCATCAGGCCCACGCCAAAATGACAAATGTTCTCTGATCTGCTTTGGATTTGCATGAGTAACATTATGAATTGCACAAGATGATGGGGCTTGCATTAGGCTTATAACATAAGTGTGATGCTCTCAAGGTGTTTTCTTTTTTGGGCATATTGAATAGACTGTAAAACTTAATATGCTTGATTTAAGGTCTGAAGTTGCATAGCATTTTATCTATGGGTTACCCAATCTTGCTGATATCAGTCTACTGTTCTTGGAAGTGGTTTCTCTGTAACGCTTACATATTCTTGTAAAGCTAAAGTGTGCTTCTCTCAAGGTTTTCTTTTTTTGGCATATTGAATAGATTGTAAACTTAAGTAACTTGATTTAAGATCTGAAGTTGCGTAGCATTTTATCTACGGGTTACCTGGACTTTCTGATATAGTCTAGTGTTTTTGGAAGTGGTTTCTCTGTAACACTGGTTAGATTGCTGAAATATTTTACACCAGCACTCACACCCATTGTCTGGTTCGGCTGAAAGGTAGGATTATGACCATCTTATCAAGGAGGTAATGTAGATTTCAAAACCTTTATGAGGTTATTGTTAGCTTACTTGCGTACAAAGTAACTTTTGTTTAAACATTAATTTGTTACTGCTCTGATATTATTAAATTAGATATTCTATGACTTCACACAGTGCAATAAGCTAAGATCCAAAATACTTGTGGGCCGTGGAAATAGAATATTGATTGACCTAGTGCTTCATCTGTGTAACGCCTGTTCATGTATCTGTTACAGGGACCTGGACCAAATGCTCGTGTAGTGTATATTGATGGTGCTTTTGATCTCTTCCACGCGGGCCATGTTGAGGTACATCAAACTTTAATAGAACATTCCTGTTAGGTTTTACTGGTGTATATGACATCTTCGATGCCCCTTTGAGCTTAGCTGCTTTTCTTAGCTCTGATTGCTTGATGCTTATAATTCCATTGATGCATTCCTTTTTTTAACTTTTGGTTTGTCATTTTGGTACACATGTTGTATGATAAAATCAACTGTAGATATTCACTATCCACCGGTATGAGCCATTTACAATAAATAAATAAATAAAATGCGAAACACATTTAATTATTTTATCTCAGACTAATGAGTTATCTTACTCCTATGATTTTATTGGTCTTCCTATATTTCCTTAAGCCACAAATCCAGATCAGTTCACAAAGCTATTATTTGTTTGTATGATGTTAATTTCATTTACTTATTTATTGTACATATATAGTTAGCGATTATAACAAGTTAGTAATTTGATCTGTTAGAAATGGCCAATGTTATAAGCAAGTGTAAGTTATATGTCATTTTTATGCTTTGTTGTAAAAAGTTTGAGGCTTATGATAATCTTTTGAGGGATTTGAAATGTAGTTTTCTGGATACTAAGTAGACAGACATCAAATGGTTCTGTTTCTGGAAAGTTAGTCCAAGCTCAGCCGTTCAAAGATTGTCCCAGCTCAACTTATAATAGCTTATTTTGCAATGAGGAATGGACTCGTAAGACAAGATTGGGGCTATCTTGCACCGCCCCACCATCTCCCCAATCCGACCACCCAAAAAAAAAGCAAAAAAGAAAAAAAAGAAAAAAAGAAAACACCCAAAAGAAGAGGATGAAGATAAATAAAAAAGTTAAAAAAGACCACTGATAATTTGACAATCCTACTAATTTGGATAAATTTTCTGGCCCCATATGAATAGATAAGTGAAGTAACTAAGGGATAATGATACAAATTCAAGGTTTCTATGGCCATCATTTCCCCTTAAAGTTATGCATTGTAATAATAGCCACCTTTTGTGTGATGTTTTTGCAATATTTTTGCGTGGAAACTGCACTTCTGTAGCCATTGAAACATGAGAATGGCTTTTATAAGCTGGAGAGATAAATTCCCTAAACATGTTCCTGTTATTTCCTATGCGTATAATGGGAGATAGATGAGTCTGATGTTGAGGGCGTGAGTAATAAATTTAAGCAATTCCAGTAACTTAAATTCCTCAACAAAAAATGATTAGACACAAGAAGTTGGTAGCAAATGAAAAGTACACTAAGATGAGATGTTCATAGGAAAAGATAATCTATGTACTTAGTTTAATGATTCTTTTATTATTTTTACTTACTAATGCATGTCCTTATCCTCCCGAAATTTTTATCCTGACTTTTGTTGTTTCCAATGCCTCAGCTTGATTACTAATAGTCTAATTGCTGCTATTTGCAGATCCTAAGAAGTGCTAGGCAACTTGGGGATTTTCTGCTTGTAGGTATTCATAGTGACCAAACTCTTAGGTATATCTCTCATCCATTTGGATCAAATGTGGTTATTTGTAAAGAATAAAGCTATCGTAATGGATGCTTACATGACAGTATTGAAACTATTTAACAAGGGACAATGCTTTTGTTCTCACCTATCAAACTATGTGATGGGCCTTCAAATGGATGATCTATTTAGTGTATATAGGATTTGATGGTTATGAGATGATTGTTTATTCAAAAGAGTTACTAAGAGATAGAAGTGGTGAGGCCCACACCTTCCAACGTGACGAAGAGGGTGGTCCTCACTCCTCACCACGAGGCTATCTCTTGGTAGCATTGAGCAAAATAGGCTGCGTGTGTGCGCCCACATGAACTTTGAAACTTTTATATTATCCATAAAGTTATTGCTTCTTTTTCGTATGAAACAACCACTCATTTTGTAAGCAATAAATGAGTGAATGAGAAATCTTTAAATGACATAATATTTTGCTGCATATGTTTATGATGTGTGGATCAAGATGAATAGTGTGGATTATCCATTAGAGGCATGTAGTTTGAAATGTGGGAACAAAGTTTTAGTTTGTTTCTATCAAACTGTACGCTATCCTTTAAAGATAATTGGCACATGACCATTCTGCATGCAAATGAAGACTTACATCTTCCAAAATTGGTCTTCTCCTGCATAGATGAAACTGCTTTTACAGTAATTCTTTTTAAAACATCTCATGCAGTGAACATAGAGGATCTCATCCTATTATGAACCTTCACGAACGCAGCTTGAGTGTGCTTGCATGCCGATATGTGGATGAAGTCATTATTGGTGCACCCCGTGAAGTTACCCAAGATATGGTGAGTGGTCAAAATATGATCTTCATTATTGATTAATATTCTTGTATTGCAGTCAGTATGAAAATATGTTACCAATTATGATCTATATATGCTCGTTGATCTCTAGCTAAGTTTTAGAGGGTGTTTGGGAGAGCTTATTTTTTGGGCAAGCTAGTTTTTAAGCTAGCGTTTTCATATCTAACTGTTTGGTAAATCACTAGTAAGCTGGCTTTTAAGTCCCATTTAAAAATGTTGGATTCACCAACTTTTAAAAAACTAGCTTATGTTCTCGTATAAATAAGCTAGGATTGACCAAACATTCTACCTATACAACTTTATCAAGAATTTTATCTTGAAAGCCAAAAGTCATCAAAAGCCAACATGACTTATAAGCTCCTAAAATAAGCGCTCCCAAACACCCCTTAATAATCTGGGGCGGCAACGTGCAGTACAATGTAAAGAAGATTTAAACTACCTACATTCTCCCTCCCTGCCTCCCTCCCTCCCTCCCTCTCTCTGCAAGCAGGCAGACAGGAGCCTTACGCCTATTTATCATATTCCTTACGTTAGCCTGATCTGAAGCTCAAATCTTATCTTTTAATTTCCTTTTGAAAACTATTTCCTGAATATGTGGAGTAGTTTGAGTGGCCTTTCTTCATTGGTCAATGAAAAAGGAAAGGTTGTTCATGTCAGAAGACTAGGAGAGGACATCCACATAGATTAAGTCACAACTTGGTAAGTTTGCGTCCTTGAGTCATCCATCTTTTCCAGCTAATTTGAGTTAAGTCTGGCATACCGATCAAGGGAAGCATGCCCAGTTGCTTTTGGTTTTAATGAAATGTCAAACTATTTTTTTGTACAATATTGGTGCACGGCTTGGAGCCTATTTGTTGATTTTTGCAACATATAAACTCTAACCAATTACTGAGGTGAAAATTACAAAATATCAGGCAGCATGTTAGCAAATTAGCAAAACGAGCAACTTCAGAACGTCTCCAGTAGAGGTAACATCCAAGTGAAGGAATAGAAAAAGTCACTGCAAAAGGTACAGTAAGGCTTTTTCTATTTCTGTGCCATTAATGTTGATCAGTTTTACAGAGGAATTGGTCCTTTAATACAGTTAAATGTTGAAAAAGATATACTGTACCTTAACAGATCCGGGCTGCAGAGGTTAAAAGAGATATTATAGTTTAGCGGAGAAGTGGTCCTTTAAGGCTTTAATATAGCTAAATGTTGGGGGGAAAAAAGAAGATAACATATAGGCGATCCCAGAGTTTTGGGTTACTAGGTTTGTTGTTTTTCTACTTTTATTTATAGGTTACTGTACCTCAAGTTATTCCTTTGTCTGTATAAAAGTTTAAGAACTCAGTCTTCATCTTCAACATGAAATGATCCTGTCTGCTATGTATCCTCCGCGGTCAAGAACAATTAACTTCTGATCGTCAATTCAACCACCCATGTGACTGATTGGGTCACTGTTATGCTTATGGGTTTTTTCAAGAATTATTTAATTTCTATCTAATTCCATTTTTGAAGGCTCAGATGTTTTTTTTTTTTATTTGTACAAACTTGCATAGATAACTACCTTCAACATATCTTTGGTTGTGCATGGAACAGTTTCTGAGAGCAGTCCTAATGTAAGTCAACTTTCTTAGTTTAGTCCCTTTCTTTTCCATATCTTACTGGTGTATAATCTGCACATTTTGTATGTTCTCCTGCAAAATGGCAATCGATTTGAGACGACTATCTTGCTTGTGACAGGATGAAATTGACCCTTATGCTGTCCCCAAGAGCATGGGTATCTTTCAGATAGTTGCAAGCCCCAAATTAATAACCTCAGCATCTGTAGCCAAAAAAATCATTGATAACCTTGAAGCTTACCGGGTATGCAATACCTACTTTTCTGTCGTAGCACTTAGACTAATCATGTTTCTTTATTTGTTACAGAAATTGAATAATTTCGATTGGGTAATTGATGCAGAAACGAAATTTGAAGAAGAAAGTAAGTGAAGACAAATACTATACAGAGAAGAAATATGTGTCTGGAGACTAAAGCCAACAACACCAGTGACATGGTACTCGATAACAAATATCAAGAAGCAAGGTTTGCTTGTTAGCAGACGGTGAAACCAAGGTTCGAACCGTACCAATCATTTGCTGTGAAAGAAAGTGTGGTTTTCTCCCTCCCGCCTTCGTGATGCGTTTTTAGATGAGCATACCCAGTCAATTATGAACAGAGTAACAAAAGTTATAGGGAGGTGTTTTTGTTTCGATTGGATGGTGCATGCATATCTTGTGTTTAAATTTGCATGCATGTCGATAATTTTGGCTGTTGTATATCTAGATAATTGACAGGTTTGTTCTGTAATCAACCACCTGTACCTTCGAGGAAAGCAGATATATATTGCATTTTAATATCAGAAAGGTTTGTAAAATTTCAGGTAAATGAGAAATTTATGGGGCGAGTGCCGCGCTTCATTTTTTTGGTTGCCTCAGATATGTCTGTTGATGGAGACGGTCAACACGTGCTCCAACAACCCTAGGCATACATAACTAATGAGACGAGACCGACTTTCTCCTTTTCTTTTCTTTTTTTGCCTTTTTCTAATTAAAAAGAACACTATACATGTATCGATTTAGGAGGGTACGGAACAAAGAATTGATCTACTTTATTGAATTTCCCAAGCCTTAGTAGGTTGGAACGTGGCTGAAGCTAGAAGGGTCACATTGATTTAGAGAATATTAGCTCAAAGGGAGGTATTAGAGGAAAAAATATTTTAAATTTTTTTTGGGTCTTTTTCGAGTGTTTAATCTTAGATTTATATTTAGTTTAAGAGGGGATTATAAGATCAAATAACTAAACCCAAAAAAAACCTAATAAATCTACAAGCATAGCGGGCAAAATCATCTTTTGCTATGCTTATTTTATGAAAATGAAAAAAAATAGATATTAACGGAAAGGTTTTATAATCGGGATAGTCAATGCTCTTAGGCCGGTTTTTTTAATGGGTGCTCATAGTCAGGAGCAAGAGAAATAGAGACATAATGAATTGCAAGCGGAGTCTTTCCAACTTGTACTAATTTCTCTCCTTTTTATCTCCTCTCTCGATCTCTTCCGTCCTCTAAACGAATATCAAAGGGCACCCTCGACGAAAACAAAACAAAACAAAACAAAAATTAACCTGAGATAAACCCCGAAAGGTTTGGAATGTTAACTTAACGACAACCTCCACCCCAAAAATTAACCTTATTTTAAGATTTTTTTTGTCATGCATTTTCCTTGATCTATTTCTGATAAACCCTAATTTTTTGAGGGTTATCTGGAGAAGCATTGGAGGGGCAAGTGGCATTTTCCGATCTCTTTTTGGGTGGTCTAAAAATGGACCAAACTCGATCCTTCAGGATTATTATTTTTTTTTTGAAGTTTTTATTCCTACTTGAATATCATATAAATATATAGGTCTTGTAATTAACTAGCCGTGGGGATATATAATAAATAAATTAATTTTGTTGTTTTAGGATTTTTACTGCAACTCTATATCATTCATGCTCTTACTCTTAATTACATTAGAATTAAAAAAACTCATAAAACGGGAAATGATTGGATGGGTTCTTCTTCATGAACAAGTTCACATGAAAAGTCGCAGCGTGAAGAAGCTCAAACTTTTAATTAAGATTCCACACGCAAGTGGAGCTCTCTAGATATATAATAGCAATTCACGTACATGAGAAATAATTAAGCGATCGCATCAATTTAGGATCCTCTGCTCTACCACACACACTAATTAATCATAGAAAAAACTTTGACCTGCAGATTTAGCACGTAGATAGATGGTTGAGTGTTTGAGCAACCTGCTAGCTAGAATATTATATATGGTTGACTGTTTTTTTTTTTTAAACTCGATCACCTAATTATATATTGTGACGATGAAAGGATTCTTCCGGCCCGTATATCAAAGTCACGTACTTGTTAGGAATTGTTTAACCCTTGCTTTCAAGAAACTCTGATGCTTTTTTTTTTCCACCTACAAGCTAGTACGCAAAAAGAGTGGCCCTAATGATTGCTTGACTGGCAAAATCTCTAGCTAGCTAGCTGCTTCATAGGAAATCTCTGTGACAAAGAGTCGGACCAATATATATCTAGCTTGAAATTAAAACTGCTCTAATTTAATTTAGTAAAATTATGAAGACGAATGAACATGTTGTACAAATTGGCGTGTCAAGAAAATAATGTCTAAGAGTAATCACTCTCATTATTTACGATATATCAATCATTCCTTTGGATGTTAAGATTGAGTATGTTGCAATTGATTGAATCAAGAGAAGTGCTTTTGTAGTTTTATGTGATCGTAGAATACATATGAGATTGAAGGGAGAATTCTATATATAGGTTAACTATAAGACAAAAAAAAAATGCTTTTATGTATTAGAATGTTTGGCAATTAATTAAGGAACAAGATGTGCAAAAAGAAGTATAGCAAAAAAATCGTTATGTCGTGATGGTCTTGTGGATATTCACTAAGAGATAAGATAAGAAATGAGTGCATTTGTTTGGAGGGTGTTTCTATCGAAAATAAAACGACAGAATGGTTGTGGTGGTTTGGCCAGGTCCGATGGAGGCTACTAAATGCGTCTATATTAGGAGAAGTGATCATAAAATTATAATTAATGAGGCCAAAGAGAATTAGAAGCGGTCATAAGTAACCTGGTTTGGAGCAATTAATTAATAAGGGTATGATAATTGATTCGTAATACGTACAACAGGGTGGGAGGATAGGATTCGTACGTGCAGCCGCTTTCAAAAAAAAAAAAAGGGATAAATGATTTCTTGCTACTGTTGTTAATTATCAACTGCTCTAATTTTCTTTACCTAGCTACTTTGTGATGCCAAATTAACAGTGTTTCATGCTCCTGGACATCTCTCATGCATGCGGGGCCTGACCTGATGTAATTAAGTGGAGGTGTTTGAAACCTCACATGCATGATAAGACAAAATTTGTTGACATTACTATTAAAGCTCGACCGGCTCACTACCGATCGATATGCATTTTTTTCGTCTTCGCTAGCTAGGTAGCGAAACAGAGAGGTGACGCTAAACGTACTTCTTTTAATTTAATTTCGTAAAATGACAAACATTATAATCTGCGCCGTCATCTGCACGTAGGGTTCTGTCGGCGGTCATGAGTCCTGGCCAGCTCGGCCTCCGCGGCGCAACATCCAAGCCCCCCTTCTTCTTCTTCTTCTTCTTCTTCTTTATTATTATTACTCTTTTTTTTCCACTGCCTTGAGTACGCCCTCGAACGCAGGGACCTCACAGGGAATCCTGAGGACCCCCTCCTGCTGGAATCCGAACTCCTCCTCTGCTTCTCTCAGCAGCGTCGCGAAGGCCCTGTGACTCAGATACTCCGTTGGGATCACGAACCTTTTCATCTGCTCGCCCACGCATACCGCCAGGGATCCCTTCGGGACTTCTCCCCCTCCCGAGACGACAGCAGCAGCAGCAGCATTGTCGACGCAGTTCGCATCGGAGAAGGATAGAGTTCTTTTCAGGAACTTGATGCTCTTCTTGCTGTTGTTCTTCGGCGCGGCTGCGAGCTTCTTCCACTTCTTTAACATCTGTCGGAGCCTGACTATCTCCGTGATCTTGTTGCTGGTTTTTTTTTTTTTTTTTTTGGTGTGTGTGTGGGGGGTCTTTTTGTGGTCTTGGTGAGCTGAGACGGTGAGCTATATATATATATGAGGTGATGAGAATTAATTTAAAAGGAGTTGGGATCCCTTTTATTTTACTTGCTGCGCCTTGTCGCGTGTTTTATATTGCCGTTGCTTGCTTACTCGTCAAAAGCAGTTTCTACTCATCGTCTACTTTGGGTTGGGTTTGGGGGTCTCCAGCTGCCTATATGTATACTAGTTTTTATGCACTTGCAGTGCATGTGGTAAAATATCAAAATATTTTTTATATTTATTTTGTTACTATAAATAAATAAGATTTATCTTGAGTTCAAATATGTAAAATTAAATTATTAGAGTTACTATTATTTTTATTTAAATATTATTAAAAATCAATGTAATGGATTTTTAAGCTAAACTGAGATGAATGTACCTAACTGGGATATTGTAATTATCATTAGGAACTATAATTATAGCAATAAAGAAATCACATTTCTTATTGTATTGAAAATAGAATTGCACAATATTTTTGGATATTATAAGCTTAATTGGGACATCTTAATTGATTTCTTAAGAAAAATATGAATTGACATAATAATATCTTCAAGTAGAATAGTAAAAGAAAATAAATTAAATTAAAACTTTATATCATATTCTAAACTCTACTAATCCCAATATATAATATGGAGTCAAGCATGAATAGCAATATCATTATGAACTAATGTTCTAGTGAAAAATAAACCACATTTCTTATTACATTGAAAACAATATTGCACAACACATTGGGACATTATAAGCTCATGTTTTGTAATAAAGAATTTTACTAAACCATAATAATCATATAAAAATAAATTTCAAGGAATTATTCCGAGATACCTCTTCTTACATGAGATAATAAAAATCAACATATACAATAATATGCATTATTGAAAAGCAGTAGGATTTGAGCAAACCCATAAAGAAATTTATAATGAAACTCAAAGAAACATGAAGATTTTAATCAAGTGCGCATTGCAGAACATTGTAGTCAGAGAGTAATTGTCCAAAACCAGTAAGATTAGAGCAAACCTATAAAAAATTTAGAACAAACTCGAAGAAACATAAAGATTTTAAACAATTACGCATCGTAGAACTTTACAATTAGAGAGTAATTATCCAAAAGTAGTAAGAATATTAGAGCAATCACATACATAAATTTACAATAAAATTTGAAGAACAAAACGTTCCAATTACAGAAAAGACAGGAAAATACATCTATAATTGTCCAAAAAGCAGTAATAAAAAGACAAAAACTAAATAATAATGATAACTATAGTATACTTTTATGTGATGAAAGCAATCGCAGTAATAAAAAGACAAAAACTAAATAATAATGATAACTATAGTATACTTTTATGTGATGAAAGCAATCACATAAGCATACAAAACTACTAATAATGTTGTATGAAAATCCCTTATAAAAATTCCTAATTCTACTCAAAAATTAAGATATGATATAAAATGATCAAAAAAATATTATCCTTTATTATTATTGTTTCATATTTTAATTGAACCAAGATCAATCTTTCTCTACCTTTATCTTTTTTTTGGGCAATTCTAGAGTAGCATCTTCATCATTTACATCGATTGTAATATCATGCTCGAGTTAGATTTCTTGTGCTATTATATTTCCTTTGCCTCGTTCATCTTTTGTTTTTTTCATCTAACTTCACCAGGAATTTGAACGTTTTTTCGATGTTCAACATAAATTTATGGAAATATGGACTCTGGTTA